ATCATAAAATATTATGTAGTATCAAATATTTTTCAGTTCTCCGAGTTAATATAAAAATATTATGTTAGCTTTTGTAAAAATGAGCTACTATTACAATTTAATATCAAAAATAGTACTATTACTATTTACAATATCTTTGGTTACCATTAGCCCCTGTTTGCAGGGGCAAATCCAGCTTGTTTGAAAATAAGCTAAAGCTGTAGAACAGTCGTTATGTTAAGTAAAATAAAGATAAAAATAAGTGATCGTGTTCCATCAGAAAAAGGCTGGATTTGAAGGCGCAAAGGAGGACGAATCAAATCCAACCCAGAGCTGAATTTTGAAGCCAGTCGTTTGGAGCTATCCTGCTAAATGTCATTTTTTGTGTTTCTTAGCGGAATAAAGCTGGCTGAGACATTCCAGCTCTTTAATACTTCCTCTGGTCGGAAATGATCACGCGAAGTAAGTAATGATAGGTCAATAGTGCTGTTACCCGCTAAGAACTTATTTTACGATTTATATAAAGTTATAGATCACATTAACTGTCATTTATAGATCACATTAACTGTCATTTATGATGATGTTAAATTGAATAGCAGTGCACTGCCATGGTTTGAAGACTTAAGTAACGCGACAGCAGACTCATACAGCTCTTTGCTACATGACAAACTAACAGGAAGTTGTTTCACCCTCCGGAGCTTGGCTTTCCCCAAGTGCGGTAGTTTGTACAGGTTGCCTCCTCCTTCTCGTAAAAGCTCCAGCATACATGCCTGTAAGGTCAAAAAAAATATCATCTACCGTGTCAGTCTCCAGCTGCCGAAACGCGTCCACCACCGACGCTATGAGAGCGTTGATACCCTTTCTTGGTATTCGATACTGAATACTTTGCATGGAGGCGAACAGACCCAGGTCTAAACAGTTGAGGTCAGGCGAGTTGGGGGGCTGACATAGTAGCTTGATGTTCCATCCTCCTTCAGTTCCGGCCTTCATTACATCCGGGTCTGTTGGCGCTACGTGCGGCTTTGCATTGTCTTGTTGTACGAATATGATTTCATTCCGATCCTTCCTTGGCCAATTTGCTTTGATCGCTGGAAATACTTTTGTCAGAAGATAATCCTTGTACACTTCCCGACAGACCGTATCGATATTACGAGTGCAAATAGTTCCTTTGTCTCTATTTTTGCTTCGCCGTTTCGCCTCGTACTGCTCCGTGAAAAACCATATACCAACTTTGCCATCCCAACGCTGCTTTCGGTGAGGATCGTACCTAAAATTAAAAATAAAAAGTTTAAGGTTTTTATATTTCAAAAATATAATATTATAGAGAATTACATTGGCCGTGCGAGGGCAGCTAAAACCATCGTCTTGGGAACGAATCGTTTACTCTTCCAGGCGCGTGCAGGTAGTTCTTCGCCGTCGAAAACGAGGTATGATCGTCTGTTGCGGTCTGCATAAAACCACTTCTCGTCTACATGGACTAGATTGTGCATTGGCTCAAACTGCAGAGTAGATTTGTCGATAAACGACAACGCGTGCTCTACCCGCCGTATCTTGTTTTCATTCGTTAGCGACGGCTTTATAAACGTGGTTCGTCGCGTTACATCCCTTCATTCACTGCCTGTCTTACGAGATGCCTGGAGAGACCAGAGACCGCCGCCACACGTCTTTCAACCGCTCTATCCTCGATAGGAACACTCTTCAGTTTGTCTCGTACTTCGTCTCGATTCTTCCGCTTTCTGTTGCTGTTCTTCTTAATCCGGCTACGCCAATCATTCCCCACGACACCAGCCGTCACTGCAGAGCTGTACCGCTTCCAAATTAACCTCACGGTGTCCGGATGTCGGCCCATAAGAACACCAACCTTAGCAAACGCTCCACGGGGTAATTCTCCGTTGTTGCTGATTTTTAGAAGCTCGTCAATGACGGCTTTGCGCTCATTATCGGTAAGGTTGGGCTTCGGCATATTTGTAGAGGAAGAAACAGCGTAGTGCAGGCGTGGCGGGTCGCACTCCAGGCGAGGCTTGAAACCTTGAGAGCGAAAAGTGAGATTGCGGAGGCTACAGAAGTTCGTTCGGCGCAAAACTGGTGGCTGTAGGAAGAGGAGATGCAGGGCTTTCGTTTAGTCCAATCAGACGCTGAATTGGGTAAATAGAACTAACGCAATTGGTCAAATTGTCGCCTTCGCGTGATCATTTCCGACCAGAGGAAGTAACAATTACAGCTGGTTTTAGCTTAGATCGAACACGGCCTTTTTAATAATATCGTGCTAGCTAATATTAAGTTGATTTTTGATAGTATCATTTGGCGCTCGTCTTACTCCTTACATTGGCGTCACCCGTGTCTGCCGTTTCGTTTTCAGCTTTATTCGCCAACAATGATCCCTCAGCTTCCGAAGCCAGTGATGTAGATCTCTCCAACGGCACCAATATTAAAGTACGACAACCTCTTCTTAAAGCTACAGACTGGTTTCTCACTGAACAAGAGATCACCGACTCGCGGGGTGGCATACCGCGGACTGACCTGGAAGCTTACACGACGGGCAACGCAGTGACATCCTTCACTGTGACGAAAGAATTCTACGACTCCGTTTACGACGATCTGAGTGCGACGAAGAAAGGAGATCGAGTCATGCTTTCGGCGTTTGTGACCGCGCTCGTTCCATTGAAACCAGACGTCGACGTTACTGGCGACAAGACAGGAGTTGGTAAAGTATTTACGGATATGGTGAAGCGAGGAACCAATGTCAATATCCTCAACTGGTCAAACATCGGCTACAAAATATTCGCTACCAAGGCTCGCGATCTCATCAACAAAATTCCGCCGTCTCCGATCAATGGTGCCAAAGCAGTCTTTCTGTTTGATGATCGCGTTCCCACGATTGCGTCAGCTTACCACCAGAAAACTCTGGTTATTACATTGAACAGCTCGTCAGACATCGACTACCAGCCCGTTGCCTACGTAGGAGGTCTAGATCTCGCAAAGGAGCGTTGGGACACCATTTACCACAACAATTCTGCACTTCGCGACGCAAGCGGCATCACTTTTAAACGAAAAGGATGGATTGATGGCCATATCCGGATCCACGGACCTGCTGCGAGGGATGTGGCCAACAACTTCGTGGCTCGATGGAACTCGGATTACTTACCCAGTCAGGGCCTGGTTGATGATCTCCTCGGCTTCGAGAACCCACCATACGAAGATATCCCACGGATCAGCTATGCGAGCAATACTGGAAGTCCCGGCAATCAGAGCATCCAGATCACTAGAACATTCAGCTGCAAGTACAAACACTACAAGGAATTTGCTCCTCGTGGCGAGAACACCCTCTTTCACGCACGTATCAAGGCGATTAAGAATGCGAAGAACTTCATTTACATCGAAGACCAGTATTTTATCTATGTGCCGGAGCTTCTGGACGCTATCATGGAGGTGATGCCAAAGATTCAGCGTCTGGTTGTCATCGCTAACCCAGAAACCAATCCGATCTCAAAGGGAGGATACGTGAAGTATCTGTACGAGATGGTTTCTCCGATCCGAGAGAAATACCCCAACAAGTTCAAGATGTACACTGTGAAGGGCGACCTCGATCTGATCATTCATACCAAAGTTGTGATCATCGACGACGTGTATTTGTCTGTAGGCTCCGCTAACTGGAATCGTCGAAGTATGACGTCGGACCCGGAGCTGAACGCGGAGGTCGTGGATGGAGATACTGTGAAATCTCCGGAAGGCGTGACAGTAGGGAAACTTCCTCGTGACTTTCGTATCCGGAAACTCGTGGAGATGACGAGACTCAGTTATGAAGAACTGGACGCGATGACTTTCATCGAGGCGACGGACCAGCTAGCGCTAGCGGCTATTGATGAATCCACAATACTGGACAACTTGGACATTAAGCATCACGCTTATTTCTTCGCTATTACGGATACCATCCGAAAGATTTCGGATCCTCAGGACACCTGTGCCTACAACTCTAGATAATCAATGTAACAAACGCGGTGTGAGATATCAGAAACTCAAAGTAGTTCTCTTGTCTGTCTTGAGGAGTGTTTTTGTGACGATCGACACGCTCTTCTGGCTCACAAGAGTGTAGAGAATCTCGTAGTACAAATTTGATACTCAGGGTTAGTCACAGAGTTTGAACCACGACTTCTAGCTGGCGCACGAGATGAAAAGTTAAATCGAGGTTGGTCCTTGGAATGTCGCTGTCTCTTGAGTCACCGCCGTCCAGCCACACTTCACACTGGGACCAAGATCAGAGCAACGGGAGATCGTCGTTTTGGGTGAGTTTGGTGGAATGGTCGATACCGGAACAATTTTCTCGTCCTTAGGGTTGTCAATGCTGCTGGTTGAAACTTGATCGTCGTCTGAGTCTTCAAACGAAAATCCGCTACAGTTGGAGAACGGGCTGTGGGTGTAAGACATTCGCTTCGTCCAGTACTCGTAGGGTTCACTACTGTCGCTGTCGTCGAGAGAAGAGTTGTCTGAGTCGGAAGAGTCGGAGTCCACGAAGTCGGTGAAGTCGCCTGCGTGTCTTGTCGGATGCTTGTTTACAATTCGAGTCTCAATTTCTCCAATGGTCTGCATAGATTTTTGTCCATCTAGCTCATGAATATTTTCGTTGTCGTTCCCCACGAGTTGTTGGGTAGCATTGTTGTCGCTTTCTTCTTGCACCAATCCCCAGTTCCAGTCTTCCTCTCGATCAAAGATCACCTGCGTTGGCACACTACTGCATACGCGCTGACGTACTGAGCTTCTAAAAGGCTGACAGGGTAACAGGCTGGTCGACCTGTGGTCACGGTGACGCATAGCTTGACTTAGCTTCACTTACTTCAGCACACGCTACCTGAAACTCTGAAATTAAAAAAAATTACTTCGACGAATCGTTTTCTTATTTGCCAGAGGATGCAATTTGTTCAAAGTCTCCTCTATCATCTTTGGCCACAGAGGGCATACCTCGACAGGACTTTAAATCCCAGACAGGTGACAGTAGTTTCATATGTAGGAGTTGAGCACTTCTTTTACACACTGAGGTGTGGTAGTCGTAGATATCCTTCGAGCGACGTAATGTGCACACAAATTTCACCTATAGACGCAGGTGAGGGGCAAACTCGTCTCTGCCATATCTGTGAATCGTATCTCTTGAGAGCTGCTGCATCTGGGAGTTCAATATGCTCCACGCTAGAGTTTGAGTTGCCATTTTCCCCACTAAAGAGTCGTAAGTCTTGTGCAATCTGCAGCCAAGTCGCCATCGCAGTATCGAAGAACACAGCACGCGCTTCTTCCTCTTCGCCATCCTTTCGTCTTCCATTGGGTTTGTATAGCGGAAACCACCGCCGGAAAATAGCTGTGAGGTCCTCAGACTTTCGCTCCATGCTCCATCCTTTCACCAGCTTTTGTCGTGCTTGGTGAAGATCAGCGTCACATTCTGCTAATAGAGTTAGCGCTAGTCGAATTCCATCCTGTGATACAGCCACTCGAAAGCGCTCTGCAACGGCCATCGCCACGCGTACAAGGCCACCAAACGCTGGATCGGACGTCCGCACATCGTACAGCACTCGAACTAATGCAGCGACTTCTTGCTGGCCTTCGA